ACGGCAGCGGAGAAGGATGAGCAGATCAAAACCAGAGAGAGAGAGAGAGAAAAGAGGGAGCGAATTTGTAGAGAGTTGGTGTGATTAGTGTGGGATATGAGTAAGAGAGAGAGAGAGAGGTGGATGCTGTTTGAGGGCTGGTATTAACAAAAGAAGGGATTTGATGGGATTGAGAGATGGCAAGAAAGAATGAGGATTTGACGTTTACGTTACTCAACTCTTTAATCACTCTCTCGCTCTCTATCTCTATCTATCTATCTATCTATCTATCTATCTCTCTCTCTCTCTCTCTCTCTCTCTCTCTCTCTCTCTCTCTCGGTTTCACTTCGCAGACATGTAGAGAGAGCAACAACGACACCTCGACGGGAATTACGTCGAGCAGGTTGTATGCTCTTTTACAATTTTCTGAAATAACCTAATACGTAACAAAAATTAAAATGTTAACGAGATTGGCAGTTCAAAACTTCATTCGATAAATATGATGATCTCTCCCAAGTTTAACCGATTAAGAAGTTAATTATTTTATAGTAAAATCTAAAATTAAAATGTAAAAAAAAAGTCAATCGGTAACTGTACAAGCCATGCCTTTACGTACTAATTTATAATATTTATCCTAATCTATTTGATATTGTTATCTTTATTGATAAAGTTTACTATTAATAATAATTTTTTACTATTGACAACCCGCTTGCTATTGATAATTCCTTAAAAAAAAGAAAATATTATTTTACTATTTATAGTCCTTGTATTAATGATTTGATCTGTTTTTTCATAATCTCTTATTTCATTTTCGATACCAACATCATCGCTCGTTATGTTTTCCTAGGAGAAGAAAAGAAGATATTTATATTCATTTGAAAATAAATAATTTAGAAATATAAAAAATAAAATAAAATTTATAAATACTAAAAATATGAAAAGTAGTAAGATCCTTATTCATTAGTGGATTATGTTGCATCTACCAACATAGTTTTTGGATGAAATGAAGCTTATATCATTTATTTATGTTCGGTGATACATCAAAGACAAAGGAAATGACTCATTTAGATATCTTTATTTAATATATATTTTTAATGATTGGTTCATTTTTAATAATAGTGATATAGGAATAATGACTTAAAAAAGACCATCAATACATCAACGTCATATTATTGACACCTCAACATTGATACTCAGCAGCACCAAGTGACCAACACCTCTCTGCTACATGATCGATACGTTGATATCGGATCGACAATTCATCATCACCCTTCGGGTGATATGATGATTGACTCAACCTTACGAAAATTAGTGTATGAGATCATACTCAACTGGTTGTGGTTGAAGTATATGTGGTTGAAGTAAATCGATACCTTGTTACCTCATGTTCCATAAATTCGTATATGTGGTTGAAGTAAACATATAATTGTTTTAGACAATAACCATAGTGTTAATCAAATACTAAACTATAAAGACCATTCAGATATGTTTTTGACGGGTATGCTCTTCTTTTTCATACGATATCTTATTGAACCTGCTCTTCTCTCGATATTAAATTTGTGACATATTCACACTCCGATCAATATTGACCCTGTGTCCTCTTAGTGTGTCAAAAAATTCAAATTATATTCATATATATAGCTAATTAGATTCCAAGTAATGTTGGATTATTGGATATGTTTGCTAGTCTCATATCTTACCCCATAAGATAGATTCTAATGCTCATTAAGAATAATTAAGCAAGTTAGATGAGAAGAAGACATCATTAATGTCAATGATGAAAGGAATCATATTGGAATTTGACTACCGACTACAATATAAACCGATTTGTGCCTCTACTTCATGGGGCCTTAAGCACTCTTAGAGATTGTAAAAGAGACCGGGTTGGATTGGGTTGTTGATCCATCAATCTCACCCATCACTATGTGATAGAGTAGAGCATGTTATTATATGATATTAGCATAGGTTTTCCAAATGTACTACAACTATTATACGTAAGGATTGTATGTGATAGGTTGGTTTAAAGTTCATGTGACACTGAGAAGATGGATTTATGTATCATAATGTGTAGTAGCTATAGTTATATTATTAGAGGGAATATAGCTTATCTTTAATTTTTTAAAATTCTATTTTAGGGTGAATTCTCAGAAAATTCATATAACACCTTTTTTTTATTTTTGAAATTTTTCGTTGAGTACCCTAAGTTTTCTTCCTTTATAGAATTGGCACGAAAGATTTTTTTTTAAAGTTTGAGAGCATTTTGGTCTTAAAAAAAAGTAGGATGCTGTGAGCGTAAACAACTTTAAGCCGTGGCCTCGGGGCCATCGTGGCTCGGTTCGAGTCCGGATGATGGGGGATCTCCCTGGGACGCTCCTCGAGACTGCTGAGGTGGCCGATTATGGTGTTCCGATTGGGACGGGGTCACTATTCCCTCCGGGCAAGAACTCCTCGCCTGTGCGTTTGGTGGGTGACCTCCGACTTCGCACCTGCACAAAGGTTGGGTCGGGGAGCTCAGCCCGACCCCTCCGATGCTCAAGTTAGCGGATAGTCACAGGGGTTTCTTTAACGGAGTTGTGTCTTCTTCTCCCCTCCTTTTTTTTGAGCATGAGGGTTTTTATAGTGAGAATTACCGTTGCCTGATGTGCCTGCCCGCAGGGAGTAGGATCGTACTTCTGGTAGCATCTGACATCGCCGTTGGCATGGCGTGAGGGATCGAGCCTGAGCAGGGTGTTAATGTGTCTTGGTAGACGTTTCGGTCCGCGTTGACCATATGCTGTCAGGTCAAAATATGTGTGAGGTGTCATCTAGGGCGGTTGATGTCACGCGAGTCTTATCGTAATGTTATGTCAAAAAGTTAAAAACAAATATACAGTTTAAAAGAAAAAAAAAAAGGGGTCCCTTCTACAGATTTTTTTTTGACATGCATTATACTTAAAATATAATATACTTAAAAAATAAATATAGTTCCTTCCATGGAACTAACTAACTGCCGCTCCCTTCCATCCCTCCCTCCCTCTTATTGCGTTATACTTGAAATATAGTATAATATAATAATTTGTCAGCCGTCGTGATAAATGTGTTGAGAATATATAATATAATATAATATAATAATTTTTAATTATAATATAATATTTATTAGAGATAAGTTGATAAGAAAAATGGGTTGAGAATACTGACATGAAACTTCCTTGCAATCACGTGTTTCAGAGCTCACGATAAATGTGTTGAGAAAATATATTATAATATAATATAATATAATATAATAATTTTTAATTATAATATAATATTTATTAGAATAACGACATGGCCGACGGTTGCGACTCTACATAATGCAGCTGCGTTTGCCCGGTCGATGACGCAGAGAGAGCATTTGTGGTTCTCCATGGAACTGCTGCAGCTCCCTTCCATCCCAGTCTTGGTGTTCTCCTTCCTCTTCTTGCTCCTCTTGATCAAGAAGAGAGGATTCACCGGTTGCAGAAATGAGAGCTACCCACCACGTCGTCCCCCAGGCCCATGGAACCTACCCTTCGTCGGATGCATGCACCACCTGGTCGGGCAGCTCCCCTTTCGCGCATTCCGCGAGCTCGCCCGCAAGCATGGCCCCCTTATGCTCCTCCGGCTTGGCCAGGTCGACGTCGTCGTCGCCTCCTCGAGCGAAGCCGCCGAGGAGATCTTGAAGAACCAGAGCGTCACCTTCGCTTCCCGGCCCGAGTTCCTCGCTACCAAGTTCATCTTCTACGGTCCAACCGGCATCGGCTGGTCCCCCTACGGCT